TCTCAGTGCATCCTTCAGAGTATACCGAAGAGGGGGATTCTTTCCCCTACGAGCAGGAGCCTTCTGAGCTGAAAGTTCTAACTCAAGCCTCAGAGCATCATCATTTGGCAAGTTCAACCTCAACTTACCCTCAAACTCACCGTTCACGCTCACCCTCTACAACTGTTAAACCTCCAGATGTGCAGCTCACCATAGCACAAAATCCCACCACAGAGGTGGAACCTCCTCCAGTGCTTCATGAGATTGTAGGCAAACCAGTTGCCATCTCAGACAAGGTTGTAAACACTTCTACAACTCACCATACAAATCCAGCTGTAACTCCAGAGCCTTCTGAAGAAGTTGAATTCTTGCCAAATCAAGAGAAGGCTCCAATTCAATCTGCAGAGTCTGGTCAGTCTGAGAAGCCTTCTCTAAGCCCGCAGGAGACCCCAGTGAATCCTCTGGTGTTCCCTAATGAGATGATAGTTCAACCTTCAGCATACCATGAGGCAACAGGTCCTTCCCTTATTCACACTCAACTTTATCCTCCTGCATCACACAACGTCACAGCTAAGCCTCCAGAGTTGACTAATGAGGTTGAAATTTCAAGCCAACAGGGATTTGAACCTTCAAAAGACCAACAAGAAGTTACAAGTCAGTATCCAACGCCCCCTGAAAATCATCAAGATTCTTCAGTTTATCAAGGGGTCCTAACTCAGCCTGAAAAGCTTCCTGGGGAAGTTTCTTCAGGTCAGCAGGATAACTTGTCTCCACCTCTAAAGCACCCTCCAGGGGTGCAGTTTTTACCATTTCATCAAGAACTCCCAGACCAGCATCTAGAACCACCCAAGGAGGGTTTCTTTCTTTCTCCAGTTGAAGATACCCTGTTCTTTTCACCTGATGAGCTAGAAGAAATATTCAGATATGAGCACTCAAGGCTGCATAAAACCACAGTTTTACATGTGGACCAAGCACATACCAGAGCTCCAGAGTCCTCTATGGAAGTCGAATCCCTTCAGGTTCAGGAGGAGGATGTAGTTTCTATACCTATACTTCCCACCGAACAAATTGAATATTCACAAATCCAATTTGAATATCCTTCCCATACACCAGAATTCCCTGAAACTCAGTTTTCTCAGCAACAGTCCATAGCTCAGAAAACAGACCTTCCCGAAGAGGCATATCCTTTTCCTACACAGCAGAGAGGCCTATATCTACCTCCAGATTCCATTATAGGTGTAGAACTTTCTCCTGCTCAGCACATGAGCTGGTCTCAACCTGAAGACCTCTCTGAGAATGGAGGACCATCTCTAGTGCTACAGCCCACCCTCGCACAGGATTCAGAACCTCCAAAGGAGATAGTTTTTTCTCCAACCCAGCAAGTGCTCCCAAACCAGCTTCCAGAGTTAATGAACAATATTATAACTCACCTTCCAACACAGCAAATGACAGTCCCAACACCAGGTCAGATTCAAGCAGAGTATCCAACAGAACACACTATCTCACTTCAGGCTTTGAACCTGGAATTCACCATAACTTCACAGTATACTCCAGAGGCCGACCACACTACAGAACCTCCTCCAACAAATCCTCAGGTGACATTTCCACACTCAACTGAAGTCACAGTTCAACCTTTGGATCTGGGACTTACCATAAGTTCAGAGCCTACAAGAGAGACTCAGCAGCCTACAACCACAATGAAGACTACAGGTCCTCTTCCAGAGCACCTTCAGGATCACATTCCCTATGCAACTGAAGTCACAGGTCAACCTTTGGATCTGGGTCTTACCATAAGTCTACAATCTACTCCTGAGGAACTTTCTCAAACTATGTCGGAGACCACAACTCAGATTACAGAACCACCTGGAGAGGTTGTTGCTCCAGCCCCTCTATACCAGAAGATGACAGTTCCAACAGTAGGTCAGGATCGAGTTGTATACCCAATTCCACCTGCTGTCTCATTTCAGCCTTTGGACCTGAAACCCACCGTAAGTTCAGAACCTACTAGAGAAGTTCACCATTCCACAACCCCAAAGGAGACAACAGTTCCTCCTCCAAAGCCCCCTCAGGTGACACTTCCACAAGAGTTTCACATTCAGAATCTATACCCAAGTGAAGTTACAGGTCAACCTTTGGATCTAGAACTTACCATAAGTCCACAACCAAATCCTAAGGAACTTCCTCAAACTGTATCAGAGTTTACAACCCTGATTACAGAGCTACCTAAAGAGGCTGTAGCTCCATTGTATCAAGAGGTGACAATTCCAACACCAAGTGAGAATCAAGCTGAGTATCCAACACTTCCTGTTGCCTCATTTCAGCCTTTGGACCTAGAACTAACCATAAGTTCAGAACCTACAAGAGAGACTCAGCAGCCTACAACCACAATGAAGACTACAGGTCCTCTTCCAGAGCACCTTCAGGATCACATTCCCTATGCAACTGAAGTCACAGGTCAACCTTTGGATCTGGGCTTTACCATAAGTCTACAATCTACTCCTGAGGAACTTCCTCAAACTATGTCAGAGACCACAACTCAGATTATAGAATCACCTAAAGAGGTTGTAGCTCCATTATACCAAGAGGTGACAGTTTCAACACCAAGTCAGGCTCAAACTGAGTATCTAGCTTCACCCACTGTGTCATTTCAGCCTTTGGACCTAGAACTCACAAGTTCAGAACCTACAAGAGAGACTCAGCAGCCTACAACCACAATGAAGATTATATTTCCTCCTCCAGAGCACCTTCAGGATCACATTCCCTATGCAACTGAAGTCACAGGTCAACCTTTGGATCTGGAACTTACCATAAGTCCACAATCTACTCCTGAGGAACTTCCTCAAACTATGTCAGAGACCACAACTCAGATTACAGAACCACCTAGAGAGGTTGTAGCTCCATTATATCAAGAGGTCACAGTTTCAACACCAGGTTGGGCTCAAACTGAGTATCCAGCTTCACCCACTGTGTCATTTCAGCCTTTGAACCTAGAACTCACAAGTTCAGAGCCTACAAGAGAGACTCAGCAGCCTACAACCACAGTGAAGATTATATTTCCTCCTTCAGAGCATCTTCAGGATCACATTCCCTATGCAACTGAAGTCACAGGTCAACCTTTGGATCTGGAACTTACCATAAGTCCACAATCTACTCCTGAGGAACTTCCTCAAACTATGTCAGAGACCACAACTCAGATTACAGAACCACCTAGAGAGGTTGTAGCTCCA